AACTACAAAGAAAAGAAGGAAAGCGACGCTCTCAGGAGAAGACAAGCGTATAGGCCAGCACCAACACCAGTGCCACTGATGAGGAGCTTCTCGTCAGCTGTAAACTCCACCAACAATGGTCCCAACGTCCGACCTGAATATCCTCAACTCCCTATCCCATCGTCACCATACAGATCAATGGTCCAGTCCTCACGAACAATGGTCCAGCCTGCATCATCACAGATCCGGCCTGCACTATCGCAACCACCAACACGGCCTGCCTGCAGCCAACCCGATCCAGACCTCAACACTCCGGAAGGACTCTTTACTGCTATGGGCGAGATCAGGAAGCTATTTGCGGATCCCCAGGTAAAGCAAATTTTGAGTGAGCTATACAAACTGACAAAAACACTAAACACAAACATGACTTATAACGACAAATACACAACAATTTTGAACTTTCTTACATTATCACCATAAACCAATCGCAAGACTTACAAATAATGCATTTCAATTCTAATGGACTTAAAAACAACATTGACGAACTGAGACAGACGATAACAAAATACGATCTGGACATAGTACTGATTAACGAGACACACTTAAAACCTACGGACAGACTCTATATGAACAATTACAAAGTTTACAGAAACGACAGACAGACGGACGCACGCGGATGGGGCGGCACTGCGATTTTGATTAAGTCTAACATCAGACACGAGCAAGTGCCAAACCTGACAGCGGGCGGGCGGTTCTGAAATAACAGCTATTAATGTATACAAGAGAGGTCAAAAAGTATCCATAATATCGATTTACATCCCGGCAAGCAGACTAGAACATACGAACTTACAAAGATTACTGGACTCGAACAGATTTGTACTTATGGCAGGAGACTTTAACGCACAACACACATCTTGGAACTGTAACTTCAACAACGCGAACGGAAACAGACTTTACGAATACCTGACGGAACACAACACCACAGACGCACAACTACATTATCCTGACACGCCGACCAGATACGCCACCGTACAGACGCACCATCACAGTACGATCGATTTGGCATTGACAAAAAATCTACACGTAACATCCGAACCCATAACAAGAACACTTTTCAACTCTGACCATAATCCAGTTTTCATGACCATTTCAGACAGACTAGACGTCGACCAGACTCCTAAACGCAAATTTTTAGATTACACCAGAGCCAACTGGCCAATTTTCAGAGACATCATCACAGACAACACACGACACACAATGCCAATCGATACCAACACTGACATTGAGGAGGCTGTAACACACCTTACACTGACAATCACAGACGCCGCACAACAGAGTATACCGACACTAGACTCAAGAACAACACCAGCCAACGACTTGCCAGAACACATTTTATTGAAAATACAACTTAAAAATCATACAAAGAAACTGTGGCAACGTACCGGTGACAGACTGCTCAAGGAACATATGAACAGACTGACAAAAATTATTTCCAATGAAATACGTGACCACCGAAACAACACTTGGACCAAAAGACTCGAGAACATAAATACTGACCCACACAAAATTTGGCAGACAGCAGAAAGACTGACGCAGAAACCAACATCCATACCTCCACTCAAATTAACTGACAACAATTACGCAACGACACCAGCAGACAAGGCGGAAATATTGGCAAAAAACTTTGAAAACATACATAAACAAAATGCCAATATGTCAAGCGCAGACCTGAAACAAGACGTACACGAGACAATTCAAAACTTCACTGACCTCCACAGGGACAAAGACTTACGAATAGACCCTGCCACAGTTTCCGAAATAAAGACAATAGTTAAAAAATTACCGAACAGAAAAGCACCAGGACCGGACGGACTACAAAACATAATACTTAAACAACTGCCGACGAACGCCTACATTTTACTTACCCGGATAATAAATAGAATAATGATAAAAGGCTGCTTTCCCGCTTCTTGGAAAACCTCCACCATATTTCCAATAGTGAAGCCAAGGAAACAGCTAGACATACCACAGAACTACAGACCGATCAGCCTCCTCAACACAATGAGTAAGGTAGCCGAAAAGGTACTACTCAAAAGACTTAACAAACACATAAGACACAACAAAATTATACCTGATACACAATACGGATTCAAAGAACGACACTCCACACTACACCCACTGACAAAACTCATAGAGAATACAGTTCTTAATTTCAACAGACGAAACCATACCGGATTGGTGTTACTTGACTTTGAGAAGGCGTTTGACACCATCTGGATGGACGGACTTGTACATAAACTTATCCAACACAACTTTCCACCGTACATAACGAGAACTTTACACTCATACCTCTCAGACCGTAACTTCACCGTACAAGTAGACAACGGACTTTCGACGGTTAAACAAGTGACGGCGGGAGTACCGCAGGGCTCGATCCTGGGACCGTCCTTGTTTAACGTCTACATTCACGACATACCCACTGACGCCGACACAACGTTACTGACGTTTGCTGACGACACTGCCATATACAAATCATCACGATCACCGACGCTACTGACTACAAAGATACAGACACACATAGACAAGCTGACCGAATATACTGACAAATGGCAGATCAGAATCAATCCGCAAAAGACGGAGGCAATTTTATTTACAAAGAGCCGAAATGCCACGACTAGACTGACTGACTTGGACAAAATTAAAGTATTGGACTGTGAAGTTGAGTGGTCGAAGGATGTCAAATATCTTGGTGTGACCCTGGACCATAGACTCAGCTTCACAAAACATATTAATACAAAAATTGGACAGGCTTACGGGATGTTAAATTTACTGAGACCTCTCTTGAACCAGAACAGCCCGCTAAGCGTGAAGAACAAACGGACACTTTACTTGACACTAATAAGACCGATACTGACATACGCCGCTCCAGCATGGAACGCGACGACTAAGACCAACTTACAGAAACTACAGACATTACAAAATAAGACACTACGACTAGTACTTAACAAAATAAGGGACCCACTGACTAGACATTATTACTCTTCAAAATACATACACAAACAGACTGACGTACCGACAATACTCGACTATATAAAAAAGCTCACCGGAAATTTTTATCTAAAATGCGGGGATCATCCTAATATTAACATCGCGGGCCTCGGCCAATACACAAGAGACGATATTTGGTATGGCAATCACGCCATGCCAAAATATATACTGATCGACCCATAGCGGTAAACGAAAATTGGCTCGTCACAAATTTTCTCCCTTAGAGTGAATAAATTTTTATTATGTTTTTCTTTTTTTGTATTATTACGTGTTATTATAAATAGTGCTATGTGATTTTTTTTGTGGATAAATTTTCTTTTCTCTTTTTTTGTCACACAAATATGAATTTATTTATATATTATGTATTAATTATTGTTTGCAAAATCAAATCCAATGAAGGATACAATACCTAAGGGTAAAAAACCCATGTTATAAACAATGTACATACTTTTATATACTGAAATATATAGTCTTTGAATTGAATTGAATTGAATATTTTTTATTGATTTAATTGAATATTGGCATATTTTTTTACACTAGTTGGTTGAATCTTTTAATTTTTCTGATTATGGATTCAATATTAAACTACACATCTTGAAAGTAATGTAAAGCTGAGATCATCGTAAATCGGTTTAAAAGATTTTAAAACATAAGGAGGTTAAGAAGAATAATCTTGAGTATAAGTATCGAGCTCTCCACTTGCGTCTACGCGCTGGTAAGAGTCCAATAACTCAAAAAGTAATCATTGGATCAACTTGAAATTTTCAGAGAACATTTTCAAGATATTACACTTAATGAAAATGCAAAAAAATAAAAATCGATTTTTTAAAAATTCCAAGTACCCCTAACCCCTTAAGTATTCACCAATTACTGGATATAGTGTTTACCCACTTGTGCACAAGGCAAATTCAATACAAAACAAATGTTTATTAATATTTTATGATAAATTTATCATAATATAATAGTTATGTAAAATATAAATGATAGTCTCTATACAGAAGCTGTAATAATTTAACATTAAGAAATAAATATTTAAAAAAACAAACGCCTGGCGAAAATACATGTAAAAAATTTAAAAGCCATTGGAATACCTTGATAAGGAGGACCCCGTGATTAGGTTTGCGACAAGATCGGCCAAGCAATGTTTTTCCAACAAGCAACTCTTTAAAAGCATCAATTAGAAATCGTAATGTTAAGGTTTAATTGAAAGAGCAAACTTTATTTTCGAAATAATCGTTTGAAAATTCTATCTAAAAATTTTAATTTCGGGTAATTAAGTTATTACACATCGGGAAGTTCATGAAACTTGCCTTAAAGCAAAAAACTCTGTCATCGGCTGTGTTACCGCAGAATTGGTCCCTTAGTTAATCACCCATAAGAATACTGGTGTCTAAATGGGTAACTAGATTCAACTACAATTTGTTAGCGTGAATAATTAGTCAACTGTAATTAGATAGTTGCTCCCAGTTTGACTTAGTTGTACATATGTGGTTTATTCGACATAACTATTTATGGTTCACCTAAATGATAGTTATCCTTAATATCTGGAATTAATTTAAACTATTTATACAGAACAAAGAAAATAAGAGAGATTAAAGACATATAAGAGAATAAATACTGAAGTGTGTATACAGATTAAATATAAGTAATAATACTTATTACTTATATTATGTTTAATCTATACAAACGCTCTATTTGAGCGTTTTTATTATACTATTCTTTACTATTCTCAAAGTAAACTATTCTTTAATGCTGAAGGTATATCACTGCTGGCTGATCGTGGGCTGCCCAGTATCGGCCCGCAGTCACTACAGAACGCCAGTACTGGCTCGTAGTATAGCCGTTAAAAATTCCTCTTAGGGAGGAAATTAGGAGGAATTTTGAGAAATTGTATTTTATTTTATAGAAATGTTGTCAAACGCTTTGTGTTTTGGCATTTATAATTCTAATGCAAGCAATTTTTGTGTATATAGGACTATTTGATATTTGGGAGCATCTGGGCCGCTGCACAATTATTGCTAAAAAGGAGTTGATGTGGTTAATACCGTTTGGACATGCGGCTTATTACGCTGGTGTTACTTTCATCGACAGATCACGCAGTCAAGATGCTCAAAGGGTACTTCAGCAAACTGCAACGGCTATGCGTGAACAAAGGGTAATTCTTTAGTTTTTTTTCAATGTGCAAATATTATTATCAAAACGAAATTCATTTGTTTATTAACAATGTGAATATTATTTCTATGTGTTTGTTCTAGTTTAGATTTTTCTTTCAGACAAAGCTCCTCTTGTATCCAGAAGGCACAAGAAATAAAACTGATTGTCCTGAGAAGTTACTTCCATTTCGCAAAGGAGCTTTCAAAACGGCTATGAACGCCAAATGCCCAATTATTCCTATGATTTTTTCGCCTTACTATTTCATCAGAAGTAAAGATTATTACTTTGGAACAGGTTTGTGTAATGGTTTATAACCTATTAACTTTCCGTAGGGTAAGTTATGTAATCGTCCAAGGAACGGAAATGAAAATCTTTACGTTGCATGGGTTTCTGAACATTTTGGCATACTTTAGAAAAAAATGGATGTGTGTGGATGGATATAATTTTTTGTTCGCGATTTTGGGCGCACAAATCAACATTCGATTTCTTCTTATGTAGAGACGGGCTGATTAGTTTTTCGTAAAGACTGGTCCAGCCGTTTTGGAGATACGGAGCTAAATGAGCAAAAAATGACAGTTCTTGAGAGAACGAAGCATCCGATGTAAATGCTTCAAAAAACCTTGTATTGACGAAACGATTTTTTCCATTTTTTTCGAATATCTAAAATAATTCGGGGTTTGATTTAAATTCTAGTTTCAATTTTAAAACTTTCTTATAAATTTGCAATTACTGTTATAAATTGATGCACAATATTTGTCACCAAACCATTTTTAACTAGTACAAATACGTATGTTTGACGTAACCGAGTTTGAATAAATTTATAAAATTATCATAATTTATTAATAATTGCTCTAAGATAAATTTACTGAAGTGTGGAACTAAAGTTTATGTGCCCCCATAATTGGAGGTACAGCAGCTTCTTCAGAACCGAATCAGAAAACACCATAAAAAAATACATGTGGCCGAACATTCTAAGATGAAGGATGATATTGAAGGTACCGGGGTTGTACCTGTGCCGACTGTCTTATGGCAAGTCGTAAAGTCAACAAGTAAAACTTCTAAGCATAGGCGAACCTCATCAAACAATTCATTTGAAAATACAATAAAAGTATCAAATAGGTTTGACATATTAAATTTGACAACAGAAACATTAAATAGCAATACAGCTAATCAAACTGATGAAAACATCACAATGACTACCGCTAAAATACAAAGACCACCAACAATAATTGTGTATGGCATTACAGACTTCCTTACAGAGAAGTGATTTAAATACAATTATAGAAGAAACTTAAATCTATGCCGAATGACATCATCAGAATAAATACTAATTTACCAGATCAAAACAGGGCAGTGATATCACACATATCACATAAACCAGGAACTGTCTTATAGAGTCGTGATAAAAAATATACACCATACATATGACCATACATATGAATGAAATAAAAAATTAGAATTAGAGAAACTTAAGTTCCAAGTATGGAGTAATTAATGTGAAACAATACAAAACCAAGTTGCCCTTAAATATGTTTTTGTAGATTTAGAACCTGCAGAAAACAATGGCGAAATATATAAACTAAAAAAATTGCTTAATCATATAATTGTGGTGGAACCTCCTCATAAAAGGTCAAATATAAGGACACTAAAAATTATTGTAACCGACCTTTCGCTTGTGTTAAATGTGGTAGTCCTCATAAAACTTTAGCATGTAAAAAAAGAAAGATCTACTCCAGCAATATGTATTCTATGTGGTGGTACTCATCAGGCAAACTACAAAGGATGTCATTGGTAAGTCATTGTATTGTCTACAATGATTACTATAAACTACACAATTATAACTTTCAAGAAAGAAGACGAACCACGGGTAGAATTAAAATTACAAATACAACCAGATGGCCAATCGCTAATTCTTGCAGTGACATAGAAGCTATTCTGAAATATTAAAGTTACAACAAAATAACGAAAAAGAACAACACATTCAATAAATAATCTACATTTCAAGATTCCTTTCTATTCTTTCTATAATACTAATCACCCAGACAATACTGCACATGCTAGATCTGGTATAGTGATTAAAGACAGTATTTCACATTATACATTAACAAAATTTCAAGAAAATTACATACAAGCAAGTACAATATGTATTAATACATTTCCTTATGATATCATTGTCTCTTGTGTTTATTGTCCACCACGTCACAAAATGAAAACAGATGATTATGAAAAATTCTTTGATACACTAGGACAAAGATTTATAGTGGGTGGTGATTTTAATAGTAAAAACACTTTATGGGGCTCTAGACTTACCACTCATAAAGGTAAGCAGTTGGCACAAATGCTGTTAAACGAAAATTATTCATTCTTATCGATCGGAAGACCAACTTATTGGCCTATGGACAGAAGCAAACATCTTGACCTTCTAGATTTTTATATAATAAATGGCATTCCTGACTTTTACACCGGCATAGAAGATAATTTAGATTTATCATCAGATCGAACACCTATTATAGCAACAATCAGCACCATAGTAATAAGAGTGAAAAAAAATTAATGATCTTTTTAATAGTAAAACAAACTGGAATTAGTTTAGACAAGAAGGCAATCATAATTTAGACCTTAAAGTCAGATTGAAATCTGAATCAGATATAGAGAATAGTTACAATTTTACATAAATACTACATTACATAAATTTATTTTATTCATTTTACATAAATACTCTGAAAAAATCTGTACAAAATGCTACTCCACATGTTACATACAGCAATATAACGTTCAATATCCCAATGGAAATTAAAATACTAATAAGGCAAAAAAGACAAACAAGGAAAATATAGCAAAGGTCATGTAATCCAAGGGATAAAACAATCAAAACAATCAAAAGTTGAAAGTCATGCAGAACAACAGTGTGGCAGAATACATTACTAATCTTAATAGGTATGATTATTCGATATGGAAACCAATAAAATCTTTGAGGAAACCAAACCATTTTAACGCCCCAATAATAATAGAATCACCATCATTAGGTGAATGGGCCAAAAGTGACAAAGAAAAGGCAAATTTATTTGCAAATTATTTATCAAATGTTTTCACTCCAAATGGTGATATTATTGAAAAGATGATATAAAAAAGTAACACCAAGAGAAATAAAAGAGTTTATTAAGCTTGTAAACAACAAGAAAAATGCTGGAATAGATAACATAAAAGAATTGTCAAGAAAAGCAATTGTTCTGCTAACATATATTTATAATGCAATATTCAGTTTAGGATATTGGTCAGAATGTTTTAAAATTTCAGAAATTATAATGATTTTAAAACCAATGTTACATCTTACAGAACAATCAGTTTACTGCCAATTCTATCAAAATTGTTGGAAAAACTATCATTAGCAAGAATAAAAGAATATTTAAAAATAATACCTGATCATCAATTCAGATTTAGAACCCACCACTCCACAATACATCAATGCCATAGTAAATAGTATCCAAAAGAAAGCACTAGAATGAAAGGAATATTGTTCAGCAACCTTTATCGATATCAAACAGGCATTCGATAAAGTATGGCACAAGGGCTTACTCTTCAGAATAAAAAGTTCTTTGTCGCACAAGATATTTTTACTATTGAAACGTTACTTAAGGGGCACACCTAGTGTGAAGTTTAAAAAAAAAAATCGAATTTTTAATTTTTCCATATTTCGATAGGTTATACCTTTAAAAATAACATACCAACTTTTTGAGTCACAGCCATTTAAAGAGTATATATATTGTATATAGTATAACGATAATTTTATCTTTAAACGCGTTTTTCTCGAAACAGAATTTTCCGAATTTGCTGCAGTGATTACTCAAAAACAAATGATCCGATCACTATTGAATTTTTTTTACATGTTCCGTACAATGACCTATCGATTTTTTGATCTGTTAAAAAATCGAATTTTGGCAGACAAAAAACGATCAAAATTTTGGGTAAAATTCGACCATCTTTTTTAAAACGCCAATTTTTGATTTTTTATTTTTATCGTAGGTTATTGTTCAGACAATATTATCTAGTTTAACGAGATTGTTTTATTATGTTTTATCAACGGAGAAGGCTGCAATCACTGTAGCAGTGGAGGACCTTTTTTCTGGCGCCGCCGGAGATTGGAAATATTCAATATTTTATTTCAAAAATTTTACTGTGTATTCTCAAGATATGTATAAATATACTCTCAAAATTTTATAATAGATCGATTCACTAGTTTTTATTATTTTTTAATTCCCATAAATGACTTTTTTTAGGTTGTCACACTATTTGTGCCCCTTAACAAACAGGTTATTCAGAACTAGAGATAATTGGAACAGAAACATCAGAATTACGTAATATCAAGTCTGGAGTTTCACAAGGGAGTGTTTTAGGACCAATTTTATATCTCATATACATACATGACAGTAATGTAATAATTGGAACTTTTGCCGATGATAGAGTTGTCATGGGGACTTATAAAAGTGCATCCGTGGCTAAATAAGTGGAGATAAAAATAAAAGAAACAAAATCTAGTCATATAACCTTTACAACAAGCAACCTGGATTGCCCAAGCGTAAAAATAAACAACATAGGAATACCAAAACATGAGAGCGTAAAATACCTTGGAATTCATCTCGATAGAAAATTAAGCTGGTTGATGCACATTAAAATGAAAAGAAAACAGGCGTAGAAGAAGTTCAAAGAGTTGTATTGGTTAATTGGCTGGAATTCAAATATGTGTTATGAAAACAAAATCCTTCTATATTCGACCACGAAAAGTTACCAGGTCACTCGAACAAATATTTACTAAAATTAAGTGAGGAATCTTCTACTCGATGATTGAAAAAAAAATGGCCACACGATCTTAAATGAAATGTCAAAAAATAATAAAAGCGATATCTCATAGGAGATAATCTTATTAAATGCATATCATTTACACCAAGCATATTGTCTTAAAAAATTACATTATTTTGATCGGCAATAAACCTATGCAAAAAAAGTTAGTACAAATAAATTCTTCGGTTTTCTCACATCTGAACATGCCACATACAATCGCAGAATTGATTAATTTTCTAAATCCAGCCCCACAAATGGACATTGCTTGTCCCTGAGATTTTTTTTACGATCATGGCAAATGCCAATCATACCAGAATTTGTAACACCTTTTAAATTTTATGGTACAATCTGAGAGTGTCATTGGAATTTGTGGAAGAAGAACTGCATCTCCTCTAAATCTAGTGTGCATTTACCAATGCATAACTCGGAGGATTCAAATTACGCATTAGAATAATTGGTGAACCAATCTTCAATGGCAGTTTATGTGGTGGCATTAAAGGTATATATATTGAAACCAAATTGAAAAAACTCCGTTTGATAATTCATAATTTTATTTTTATTAACAACAGTATCTATTGTTTTGAAAGAGATGATATCGCCTGCTAATAACTGTTGTATCTTAAAATTTACCTCATCATCAACGTCAATATTCTTAGATTTCAATGTAGCCACTGAGCCTGTTAGATTCAAAAAATTTTTTCTGTATATTCGGACAAATACCATTTATCAATTAATTATTTTTTTGAAAAACAGTTTTGAATAATTTTTTTGGTACTATTATGCCTATGATATTTGGTTGCGTTCGTATTTTTTCATTTCCAATACCAATTAACTGTAACTTTTGAGATATTTGCACGAACCTTCGCTATCCTAATGATGAGTTTTTGATCTGCATTTATTGCTGCGATTTGTTCTGGCAATTGATAATCTATTTATCGACGTTTGCGTTTACATATCTAATCTTCTTGTTATGGATGTTCATTTTTTCGTGAAATTTTAATGTATTTAGCTATTAACTTCAAAACTGTAATATTGACACTTTTCATTCATTATTATTTGATTCTTAGTGAAACATGTATTACTATTAGGTTATGATGCCTAAGTACATGAATATTTTTTAAATTATACTCAAGCACAATCTATATAATGAACCTAATTAACTATTATCACAATCAACCGCTTTTTTGTATTTCTATAAATCAATATTCGATTATTGAATATATTTTTTATGCTTTGTTTATTAGATTTATTAGAAAATTTTGTTATAATTTTTTTTAGACTTGATTCAAGTAATTTATCTCTGATTAATATATGAACATAACATATCTTCAATCAAATATATTATATTTCATAAACTGTACTATTAATATATTAATTACAAATATATTTGGCTTACTACACTTTTCACCAATAACAATTCAATAACAGCGATTCGCACATCAATTCGCAATTGGCTAAATAAAAATTCAAAATAACTATTTATTTATTCAATAGTTAATAATATTCAATTTTCAACTGCTACCAACCGTCTTCATAGTTCATAGAAACGCATTATAAACTCTGTCATTTAAATTGTTCGTTGGTCGTTGGTCTAAACACGAAGAATTCTGCGATTTCTCGTAAAACTATCGAAAATTATTGAAATTACCAATAATATAATATTTCGGCTATAAATTGAGATATTTTATGTAGCTTATCACCTAAGTTGGAAATAGATACACGTGGCGAGCAAATCAAATTTTAAATGTGTTCAGTAGGCTTACACCGCGGACAAATATCATAATGCTAAATTTATATATATATATATATATATATATATATATATATTTGAATGGCCTTGAATTTGATGTTGATATATATGTTTAACTTGAGTTTAAAATTCGGGCGTAACATTACTAAAAATAGTATGAGAGTTTTTCCATACGTTTATCTAGCATCTTAGCCATCATTCAGTGGTAATCAAATTAACTATAAAATTGAAACTAAATAAGTTATATGTAAGAAATTTCTTAGAAAAACAATAATAGTAATAATAATAATAATAAAACACTTACAATTTTGTATCCTAATATAGCATATGAAACCATTATTAATCCATGGTATGAGTATGTGCACATTGATAAAATATATATTTTTTAACATCACAAATGGTAAAACACACTAATATCCATGATAACTTAACAAGTTATCGAAACTATGTATTCACTCTTCGGAGTTTAAGATAGAAATGTCACATTTTTCTTTAAAGCAGTTTTTAGCATGTGTTCAAATTTTATGGAAAATTTAAAAAGCGATGGGATCTTGTCATTTTTTAAGAAATTTTGACACGCTATTAAGAAACCACGTGTTTGTTTCGTTCAGGGCCGTACTGTCGAAGCGTTTGTTTATGACCCTGTCGTTATGCAATTGCAAAACAACTCCTCGGCAAATCTTCTTTTAATTAAGTTCTCTTCAAAATGTAAAATTTTAAGGTTGAAAAATCTATATTATGATTTAAATTTTTAATATTCTCATTCAACATCGTCTTAAATTGCTTCGGATTTTTTGAGTTGTTTTTCTGTTGATGAAGGCGTTTACTCAGGTTTTGGCTAGTTTCTTTAATATAAAAGATATATATTAGGTTGTCAAATATCTCCCTTGCGCTTTTTTGCTATTTGTTTAATACAACAACAAAAAGGCGGAAGGGAGATATTTGACCACCTAAAAAATAATATATATATATATATATATATAAATATATATATATATTTATATATATATATATATATATATATATATTTATTAGTACGACCCTGCCGTACCTCGTGATTGCCCTGCGTGATGCGCACGCATCAAGATGGCCGTCTCCGTCCTGTTTAAAAGAACCGGCCATCGAAGCAAAATGCCTCTTCTACCATCACGGCCAACAAGGAGAAACCAATACACAAATTGTATTGAATAATAATAAATAGTATTAATATACTTCAATGGTGACCCCGACGTGATATAATAGTTGGTGACGTGATAAAGGTATAATCATCTACCTGCGAATTTACTTAAGTGTATTATTCACGATTCAACTTTTATTTTATAAGAAGTGTTATTTATTTTTTTATTTTTTTGAACATTCGGTGACATTTTTTAATGAATATTTAATTTGTTTTTCTCAATTATTTGTGAAATGAGTGAAGAAGACAAGACAGTGAAATCAGAAAATCCAAACGACGCAAATGCAGGCGTATCACATGGAATTGCGAGGCCTATACCAACATTTTGGCATGAAAAACCTCAATTATGGTTCGCGATGATCGAGGCACATTTTAATCGATCACGAATAAAAGCAGAAGAAGTCAAATATGAATTTATATTATCATATGTAGATGACAAATTAGCCAGTGAAGTGGAAGATATAATATTAAATCCACCGAGCATTGAATGCAAGAACAATCCCGGATAGGTACCCAGTCAGGCTCATGAATGACTACTCACAACACTTATCAGGTTGTAACATATTTTCAATAATAGACCTCAAGAAAGCATACCAGCAGATACCTGTTCACGATGAAGATATTCCCAAGACGGCAATTACAACACCTTTTGGTTTATTTGAGTTCCCCTTTATGACATTTGGCCTACGTAATGCAGCGCAAACTTTCCAAAGATTTATGGACGAAGTAACCAGTGGATTAGATTTTTGTTTTCCATATATTGATGATATTCTAATCGCATCCAAAAGTGAAGAACAACATGAACACCATCTCCGTAGACTGTTTCAACGTTTAGTAGATTATGGTATAGTAGCAAACCCATCTAAATGCATTCTAGGCGCTAAGGAAGTTACATTTCTAGGATACTGCATTACGGAGCATGGCAAAAATCCCCCAAAAGAGAGGATAATCGTACTGTTAAATTTTCCAAAACCAAAAACCATAAAAGGATTACGGAGATTCTTAGGCATGATAAACTTTTATCGAAAATTTTGTCCGAATGCTGCTAGATATCAAGCAGATTTACAAGTTTTATTGTCAAAACCTAAATCGAAGGACACAAGCCAAATTGACTGGGATGAAAAGCTTACAGCAGCTGTCGAAGCTTGTAAGAAGAATCTCGCTGAAGCTACCTTACTAACGCATTCATTGCTTGATGCAGAACTTGCTTCATTTACAGACGCTTCAGACAAATCCGTGGGTGCAGTGCTACAACAATATACAAACGGTGAATGGAAAACTCTCGCTTATTCTTCGAAGGAAATTTTTGAAAAACAAAGAACGTGGCCAACGTACTACCGCGAGCTTTTAGCAGGGTATAAAGCATTTCAATACTTCATGGATCAAATTATTGGTCGTAATTTCATTTGGTTCACCGACCACAAACCACTTGTGTATGTTTTTCAGCTAAAACACGACCGCCTACCACCAGTTCAACTCAATCAGATAACATATATGTCACAATTCACGACAGATGTTAGACATGTGAGCGGGACAAAGAATATTCCGGCTGACTTGTTTTCTAGAATTGAATCAATTAGTTCTCAATGAGAAATTACCGAAATAGCAAAAGCTCAAAAGGAGGACAAGGAGCTTAAACAATATTCATCGATGAAAACTACATTACAAGTTAAGAAACAAAAATTCCAGGAACAAATTACTCCATATACTGCGACATATCTCAAGGAAGAGAACGACCATTCGTACATGTAAGTCTAAGAAAGACTTCGTTGGTAGGTTACATCTAAGATGTGTACACAACACTAGAAATTAGCACTAACATTTATACATCTAACTTGTCCACACTATGAATTTTTATTATTTTTTGTAAGATGTAAAAAGAAAAATGATAGTTTTATTTGAACAAAAATGTGAGTAAAATTAAGTAATTCTGCCACGACTTGTGGAATGTGCAAGCTCCGAGGCTTTAGTCTAAAGTTTAGTTTATGTTAGTGCTAATTTCTAGTGTTGTGTACACATCTTAGATGTAACCTACCAACGTTAATATCAACTGATGATGACATTAAATTGAATGTCGAAACGTTTGGAATTAAAGATTAATTTATAAATCTTTGCTTTTTATTTTTTGAAGTATCGCCCCACAAGAACTTACTCATATATCTCAACATCAAAATTAACAACTAATCATATATATATATATATATATATATATATATATATATATATATATATATACATATATCTGTGCGTGCGTGTGTGCGCGCTTGCTTGCTTGTATGGTTATTACTACTATATGCAGTATTTTTCATTATTTGTAAACTTTGTAACGTTAATTAATTAAAAGTATTAAATTATTAACAAAGATCTCATTATTTGCAGGCACTGTGATTATAAAAGTTTTACCTTCTATAGACACGTCCGCACTCGCCGACAGTGAATTAGACAAGTTAGTAACAGACACGTACAACAAAATGTCTGAAGTTTACGCTGAATTATCTGCAGAAGTAAACAAGGCGAATAATAATAGTCAGCCAAAGAAGTTATTGTAAAATTGATAAGTTACAATTCAATCCATTATATATATATATATATATATATATATATATATATATATATATAAAGCGAGAGGTTTTTCTTCAGATGGTGAAATAATATAATAAAATTGTTTCTTGGGCATCCATCCAGTAATTAAAAAACAGTTTTAATGAAAAATGTTTTTATTTATAGAGAACATACGTTTCGGGTCTGGATTTGACCCATCTTCAGTGCTACAATTAAATAATTCAGGGTTACAAATTAAAACAATATAAAAAAATACATAATTAACAGACAAAAATAAGTAAAACAATGTATATGAAAAGTATATATGAAAAACAACCATAAAATAAACAATGTAAAGAAACTCACCATACAAATAAACTTTGAAAAACAACACAAAAACACAAAATTGCACGAAAAATAAATAAAAGTGAAATAAAAAATTGATGAAACGTCGAGTTATGAAAAATTTTAAAAAAATTGTAAAATTAAAATGAATGATATATTTTATTATAAAAAAGCTTATTCCAAACGAACATGTTGTTAGTTTGGAAGTTGTATTACGAGTGTGTACGAGAGTAAAATGTGTGCGAACGTGTTTGCGGAAAATACTGGAAACTGTATCGTCATTGGTGAGAGAACGGGATAGAGAGAAATTTGGTGGTTCCATATTACGAAGATTTTCTCAACGATCATGCGCAGTAGGAACATAGTAAAAAATTTATACATGTGCAAGACATCCATAATCAAATCCCAAAAATATGTGAATGAAGAGAAAATTATTAAGAAAAAGTATAGATATTAACAGAAAAACGATAATAGTTATGGAACGATAAAAGTTACATAAAAAATTATAACATAACATATATATGTATATATAAACGCAAAACAATAAATGTAATATATGTATACACATACACATACACATATATGCATACACAAAAGAATATGTAGAATACATAAAAGAAATGTTAGGATGTATTGCGCATATTGAAAAAATTATTTGAAGCATCGCGGTAAATATTGCAAAGAGAAGCCGAATCAAATCGTTTGTTAATAGAAGGTAATATTTGTATGAAAATACTCTCAGCGAACTTCCTGCGTAAAATGTTAGATTCACGATGAATAACTCTTGGATTGGTGAAATTAAAAGAATGTTTAAATTTGGAGACATGCTCGGTGATCATGGTTTTATTTTGTTTTCTGTTCAAACTATTAAGTTCGTGTTGGCGCATTCTTTTTGAGAGAAATTGTGAAGTTTCTCCAACATAACAGCTTGAACAATCATTACAATCAATGACATATACGATGTTTGAAGTGCGGGAAATAGGGGTAGGAGTTTTTAAATTAGTGTATAAGTCTGAGAGAGTGTGTCCAGTCGAACACACTAGCTTCAGACCAACGGATGAAAAAAGTTTTTTCCATGAGTGGAAAAGGCAGTCAATGTACGGTAATGAGATGAAGGAATTGAGAGATAGTGAATTTTCAGGAGGCTTCACAAGGTTTTGTGAAATGATACTATTTTGTTGTGATTGGGAGGTAAATAAGGAAGCTGTACGGAATTTATTACGAAGAAAGGGTAATCTATTATTTATTACTGAGCGTAAAAGTTGTAGTGGATAGGAATTATTTTGAAGAGTAGAATATATCAAATTAATATTTTTTTCCCAATGTGATGGATGAGAAAGAAAGAACATTTAACAACTCCATTAATTTTTTAGATATTACTCTTTTCATAAATAACAACTCTATCACTACATGTTGGTATCAAAAATCCACTTGGTCTGGACGCTATTTAAACTACCATTCCTATCACCCCAAATCTACCAAGATTGCATCCATCATCAACTTACTAGATCATGCCATCCTTCTTTCTCATCCATCACATTGGGAAAAAAATATTAATTTGATATATTCTACTCTTCAAAATAATTCCTATCCACTACAACTTTTACGCTCAGTAATAAATAATAGATTACCCTTTCTTCGTAATAAATTCCGTACAGCTTCCTTATTTACCTCCCAATCACAACAAAATAGTATCATTTCACAAAACCTTGTGAAGCCTCCTGAAAATTCACTATCTCTCAATTCCTTCATCTCATTACCGTACATTGACTGCCTTTTCCACTCATGGAAAAAACTTTTTTCATCCGTTGGTCTGAAGCTAGTGTGTTCGACTGGACACACTCTCTCAGACTTATACACTAATTTAAAAACTCCTACCCCTATTTCCCGCACTTCAAACATCGTATATGTCATTGATTGTAATGATTGTTCAAGCTGTTATGTTGGAGAAACTTCACAATTTCTCTCAAAAAGAATGCGCCAACACGAACTTAATAGTTTGAACAGAAAACAAAATAAAACCATGATCACCGAGCATGTCTCCAAATTTAAACATTCTTTTAATTTCACCAATCCAAGAGTTATTCATCGTGAATCTAACATTTTACGCAGGAAGTTCGCTGAGAGTATTTTCATACAAATATTACCTTCTATTAACAAACGATTTGATTCGGCCTCTCTTTGCAATATTTACCGCGATGCTTCAAATAATTTTTTCAATATGCCCAATACATCCTAACATTTCTTTTATGTATTCTACATATTCTTTTGTGTATGCATATATGTGTATGTGTATGTGTATACATATATTACATTTATTGTTTTGCGTTTATATATACATATATATGTTATGTTATAATTTTTTATGTAACTTTTATCGTTCCATAACTATTATCGTTTTTCTGTTAATATCTATACTTTTTCTTAATAATTTTCTCTTCATTCACATATTTTTGGGATTTGATTATGGATGTCTTGCACATGTATAAATTTTTTACTATGTTCCTACTGCGCATGATCGTTGAGAAAATCTTCGTAATATGGAACCACCAAATTTCTCTCTATCCCGTTCTCTCACCAATGACGATACAGTTTCCAGTATTTTCCGCAAACACGCTCGCACACATTTTACTCTCGTACACACTCGTAATACAACTTCCAAACTAACAACATGTTCGTTTGGAATAAGCTTTTTTATAATAAAATATATCATTCATTTTAATTTTACAATTTTTTTAAAATTTTTCATAACTCGACGTTTCATCAATTTTTTATTTCACTTTTATTTATTTTTCGTGCAATTTTGTGTTTTTGTGTTGTTTTTCAAAGTTTATTTGTATGGTGAGTTTCTTTACATTGTTTATTTTATGGTTGTTTTTCATATATACTTTTCATATACATTGTTTTACTTATTTTTGTCTGTTAATTATGTATTTTTTTATATTGTTTTAATTTGTAACCCTGAATTATTTAATTGTAGCACTGAAGATGGGTCAAATCCAGACCCGAAACGTATGTTCTCTATAAATAAAAACATTTTTCATTAAAACTGTTTTTTAATTACTGGATGGATGCCCAAGAAACAATTTTATTATATATATATATATATATATATATATATATATATATATATATATATATATGCATCTGCAAAATAGCTGTGATCTTCCGAGTTTTGTGAATAAATTATCACATTCAATATTACCAGGTAATTTATTATAAAAATCAGGTTGTCTTATTTGATGTAAGAGATATTAATGTGGTACCATATTTAGATCTCATTTTGTAATTTAAGTCATAACTTTAAAATAGTTTTTATTTGTGTAAAGTATTAGCAAAATCAATTTGTTTAAAATTCTATAATACACTTCTACTGATTTTGGTTTCAATTATTTTTATTTGTTTATATTAAAAGAGTGTTGGTCGTCAAACAGAGCAGCCTGTAGTTTTTTGTCTATTTGCAAATGTCAGAAACTACTGAATAATTAATAACTTTCTATAAGATAAGTTATATTAATATTCCAAAAATTGAAAATGAATTTTTTTGCATATCTTTACGCTTTAGAGGTTTCTGAATTGTGCATAGAACTTGACTTGGCGCAATTGTTTACACGCCGTATGGATTTATCTTTACACGCCTGTAAAGTAAATACCACTCCCTTATGTGTATAATTTTTTTTTTTTTTTTGTTACAATTTATTTTTGTTAATCAAGACTTTAATGTCTTATTTACAAAATTGATATAAGCAAATAAACAAAATACAAAAAACAACAAAAAATGCAATAAATTGAATATAAAATGAAAAAAGTTAAAAGAAAATTTAAATTAAAATAGTAATACAAAAATAATAACATAAATGAACGATGACGTGATGATGTATGCCGCGTACTACGTCAGGGCGCGTGCAGACATTGGGCTAGGTGTTTGGTAGATCGGAAGGCCATTTCTTGCTCAATCTTCTTATCGGTCTGTGAATCGCTTGAATTGTAGGATTTGTATGCTGGATTAATTTGTTGTTGAAAGATGAACTTCTAATCTTGATCATTTCGTTGACTGTTGAGATTTTCAAATCCTTATGTAGGCAAAAATTCGAAATATATCAAGGCGCGTTAGTAAGGATACGCAGAATTTTATTCTGGCACCTTTGAATGATGTTTATGTTAGATTTGCATGAGTTCGATTCCATAAGTCCAAATGGGCACTATGATAGTTTTGTACACAAGATGTCGCGATTTTTTATGGTTTTTAATATGTTTTTATGTTTTGATTCTTACAACAACATTTGCAGTGTTCCGCGGCCAAAACTGCAAAACTGAGATCATGTCTAAAAAAACTGTAAATCCACGGTTAAAAATGTGGAGTTCGCAACACTGGTTCGCACTGACTGCGAGACATAAAAGCAAGTATAGTTCAAGGTGCAAGGTTCAAGTAGCATAGTATATTCAAGGTACGGAGTGCAAAGGGTGCCAAAAGTGATCTAAAGAAAGGATGATCTATAAATATTTTCATTGTGTAGGCTGTGTTAAAAATAATATGTTTAGGGAGAAGCAGTAGTCCTGAGTTTCAAAATTCTAAAATTAAAAAAAAAATCAATTAGATTTTTTCAAACTTTTGAAACTCTTCAATCATCCACCATTTTACCTGTCAACAAATTTACCAATGTCTACCAATTAACATGCCAAACTGTTTATCTGTCTACATATTTGC